GAAAAAACGTCTCCTGTGGTTGCGTCCAGTAATGTACTGGCAACTTGACATTGACCTTTACTGCTATTCCTATACAGTACTGTGCAAAAGTCAGAAACAACTCCTCATTTGTTTCATTTCTAGTCAAAATGGCAATTAAAGTACAAGTTAAACATTTTCCAAGAGATATTATTGATATTACTGCGGAGGTTGGGTATAAGACATTCTACCTGCATAAGGAAGGAGGTAATAAAAAAGGGAAAACAGACAAATAGTTTCCAAAACTAAAAATGAAAAGATGCTGAGGAAACTGGACTCTTAACAACCACCTGCAGGACCTGGTAAACCACCGAAACTGTCCCCATCAGATAAACAGCACTGAAAGCTTTCATCTTTGAGAAACTGGACATTCTGAATTTTAACTACAAGTTTTACACAGTGCTGTAATTTCTTACTTTAAATTATAATAAAATTACTGTAGAATATTTTATAGTATGATGTTGGATATTTACAGGACTTTACTGTAAACCAAGTGGGTGAAGTTTGAGTGCCACCAGTCAAATTAAATTGTTTTTTTGGTTTTCCAAGTGGATATAAGTGAACATATCCTTGACGGAAAGCAAACATCTTTACATTTTAATTGACAATTTCTGTTTATTTGCTTTATTTTTAAATACTGGAAAAAAATAAATAAAACATAAAATTGTGCATGTACCAAAGTTATAACACATTTAATATTCTTTTTCCCCAATAATATTAACAAATAAATAGACATTGTGGATTAAAATGAGGCAGAAAAGGCTCAGATGTCTGAGTTTAATATGTTTAATGGGTGTAAAATTCTAAATATGTACAGATAATTGAAATATCAGTTATTCAGTAGCCTTTTATTTAAAACATAGTATGTTCCTACAGCTGGGGCATTTCAGAGTTTCCAGTTCATGGCCTTCAGGAAACACCTGTGTGCTTCGGCCAAAGTTGTTGATGCGAATCGATGATTTTTTGCATGTGCTGTGTCATAATTTCACTTCATAATGAAAATGCTTAAGAAACTTTTAGGCTACGTTGATCATGCAGTGCTTTCATTCCTTGCAGTTTATAGACAGTAAAATGATCATTGAACACGACATGTAGAATTAAGTTAATGTTATTAAGTTAATACAACTCTGTATGGCACATTTTGTTTTCTATAACATAAATGAATTAATAAAAAACACTTTTCCATCAGCAGCTGTCCTGAAAAGAATTCAGTCAACTTTGTTATTCAATATGACAAACACTCAGTAAATGACTGTAGCTTTAGTTACAAAAGAGTGATTGGAGTGGAATTGATCATCTGGCTAGATGAACTATTTGTTGTTGCTTTTAATTTTAAGGCTATTATTTCTATTCTTTCAGTGAAGTTCAGCAAATAAACACAGGACATTTTTACATTCATAGTTTACTTTTAAATGTTGTGGGTTTCACCCATAAACTGTGTGTAAATGTGTGTAAATAGTACTTTTCACTTTTACGGCCTCTGGGTGGCAGCGTTTCTCCATTATTCACAAAATACACACTCATTTTAAGAGGAAATGACTGGAGGAACACAGTGACTGTGAAACACAAGGCTTCTTTGGATTTTATCTTTCACCAATATCATCTTCAATAACCTAGTTTCTCTGGTTTTTATCTAGCATTGCCTTCTGAATGTTTGTAGTGGTCTGTCATGAGTATTTCCCACATATTTTGTAACATAATTGAACACAGCCTACATCACTAATCTTAGCACAAAGCACCATCAGCTATTGTTCTAGCGAATATTAAAGCTTTCTCATTAAGGCTACAGGGACACTGCATGAAAATGGGGCATGTTAGCTTGTATTGACCAATTATATATATATATATATATATATATATATATATATATATATATATATATATATATATATATATATAAAAGGCTTTTAAATATTATAAAATTGTTCCTATTCAGCTGAATGACTGGTGATAAATGTGTCGTCTATATTGATGCTCAGCACTGTTAATTGATGTTTTTAACAGGCATTTGTGTTTTATGTGTTTGTGTTTTATGTGTCACTTTGTATGTTTGTCATTTTGAACCAAAGACAAATTTCCACTGCAGTGGAAAATAAAGGTGGTTTTATTGAATCTAATCTAATCTAATCTAATCTAATCTAATCTAATCTAATCTAATCTAATCCACTTGCACAATGTGTAGGCCAACAGGGCCTTTGTGCCAAAGCTGCCTTACAAATCCAGGACCCTATAAAACTGAGTTGTAGTCTTATGGAACATATCTAATCTAATCTAATCTAATCTAATCTAATCTAATCTAATCTAATCTAATTGTATATATTCCAACCTAATCAATTTGCATCTTATCTAATCCAATCCAGTCGCATGATGTACATGCCTTGAGCAAAAGCTATCTTGTAAATCCAACACCCTAAAAACTACTTAGTGAATTATAATAAAATTGAACATTAATCTAATCTAATCTAATCTAATCCGATCTACTCTAATCTAATGTAATGGTATCAAATATAATTGAATCTTTTTCCTAATCTAATCTAAGGTAATTGTATCAAATCTAATCTAATCTAATCTAATCTAATTTTATTCAATAGAATCTAATCTAATCTAATCTAGTTGCATAAACTTGTAAGCCAGCAGGGCCTTTGTGTAAATGCTGTCATGCAAATCCAACGCCCCACAAAAGTACATGTTGAGTTGTAATCTAATTGAATCTATCTAGTCTAATCAAGTCTAATCTCATTTTATCTAATGTAATCTAATGTAACTGTATTTAATAGAATCTAATCTAATCTAGTCCCATGATGTGTAGGCCAACAGGGCCTTTGTGCAAATGCTGTCATGCAAATCCAAGACCCCATAAAACCACTTGTTGAGTTCTTAAGAAAAGCAAAGAGCAACTCAGCTGAGTTCAGCTTCCACACAAACCATGTTCTCCTCATCTCTCCTTCCACTTCTGCTGCTAACAGCTGCAACTAGTAAGCACGACACTGTCCTTGTCACATATCACCTGCTGAGTCACGTACAAAGACTACTTTTAGTACTTCAGCTACTCCTAAAACAGAATAATTCTTACTGCACAAATCTGATTTACATTTTCACAGGAGTCGAATGTGTTGAGCTGGTCCAGCCTGCTGCTATGGTGGTTAAACCTGACCAGTCTTTCTCCATCGCCTGCAAAATCACTGGATATACAGCCGCAACTAGCTGCACTCACTGGATACGGCACTCAGTGGGAAAAGCTCCAGAATGGCTCGGATGGTTCTGCAGTACGAGCAACACTGGGAGTAAAAGTTCGCTAAGGAGCAAGATCAGCTTCACTGTAGACGCCTCCAGCAACACGTTATTTTTACAGGGTCAAAACTTCCAGTCTGAGGACACAGCTGTGTATTACTGCGCCCGAGCTCACAGTGTGACAAACTCATAGCTGCCCTGCACAAAAACCTCCAAGATAAATCAGTAACAGAATAACATGGAGCTATTTAAAAGGGATTTCCACAGATTGAGTCAGAATGGAGTTATAGGAACCAGAGTATCAATCTAGCAGGATAAATATTGATTAGAAGTGTTAATAAACACAGTTCATGCAGAACCCATTTTCATTTTAGGCCTATACGCCAAAATTTAACACATTCTTAGTACATGTTAACTGGGAATCTCTACTTTAGAACAGTGTCATTTTGTCTATATTTACAAATGAGGTGTGAATAGGAATCAAAAGAAAATGATCTAGTGCTTAGATAAAGGTTGTTTACAAGATTATGATGTAAAATACACACATAAAAGTACTTTGGCCCTTTGGTTAACACTATTTATGAATGTTATGTTTGTAAGCATCTATAATCACATTTATAACATGTTATAATGCATTCATAAGGCATTATAAACATGGTTTTAATATTTATAAAAATAAAGTAACACTTTCTATGAATGTCACCTTTGTAAGCATCTATAAACATATTTATAACATGTTATAATGTATTCATAAGGCATTATAAACATGGTTATAAATATTTATAAAAGATAATTACACTGAATAACATTTTATAGCCATGTTTATTATACATTATGAATTGTTAATATAATGCATTATAAATAGAGTTAATAAAATGTTATAATGTCAGTGCCAAAGAAGTCAGTCCCAGCTTGGAGAGCGTAAAGTAAAGACAAAGACCAAGCTAACGGTGGTGAACATTACCTTTCTCACATTGGGTAAAACACTGATGGCAGCACTAGTTTAAACTCTGACATTTGAAGCCTGTAATGTGCTTTACTGTGTATGTTTTAGTGTTTCAGTAAATCCTTCAGTAAATACTTCAACTTGAAGCCTCACTCTTAACACTGGAGGAGGCTTTAGTACAGTACGCTTCACTTTACTTAGAGCGGACAAATACCACTTATGAGCGCTTATAATTTGTTATGATCAGTACTTATAATGTATTATGTTAACAATTCATAATGCATAATAAACATGGCTATGATGTATAATGCATTTTTATAAATATTTATAGCTATGTTTATAATGTCTTATGAATGCATTATAACAGTTATGGATGTGTATATAGATGCTTACAAAAGTGACATTCATAGAAAGTTGTTTGTGAAAATTGATTTCTGAATCAAGCGATAAAAATGGTGTGCGCTGCTGTGATAATGTACCACATAATGTCGGGTCGGATTTTACGGGACTTTTTCACACAATGCCATACGTCTTTACATAGTAATGTCACACAGACTCAAAAAGAAGGTCCAGCTAGATGTTTAGGTCTCAAATGCAAAATCAGCATTATACTCATAAAGATATGATGACTGCTTTGATAATCCGAACTGCTTTAATAATCAATGCATGTGAAAAAAGATGAGGTTGTGGTGAGATGAGGTCAGCTTTTGCGCTGATGTAAATCATCTTTTTTTCATCAAAGCAGGAACAGACACACGTAATAAAAGGCCTGCTGGGCTGTAAAGGTTACAGAGCAGAAATATCACTAATGCTAAACACCATGTACTCTGTTTCTCTTCTGCTGTTTCTGGCAGCTGCATCCTGTAAGTGTAACACTTATCAGCTAGCAGTTGCTACACGTTCGAGATATTGGTAGGCTACAGTTAGGTTTGTAATAGCAGGTTTAATTTAATACTCAATAACTAACATCTGCAACCTGTAAGTGTACCTAAAACATACTGATGCTGTTGCACCACAGTTAATATACTGTTTGATTACTGATAGTTTTTCTTAGAGACCGTCATTTCATACGATTTAACGTCATGTTTGGTGTCCTCAGGTGTTGAATGCATTGAGCTGGTCCAGCCTGCTGCCATGGTTGTTAAACCTGGACAGTCTTTCTCCATCACCTGTAAGGTTACGGGATATTCGGTCACCAGTAGATACTGTACTAACTGGTTACGACACTCAGCAGGAAAAGCTCCAGAATGGATAGGATATTTCTGCAGTACGAGCAGTACTGGGGCCAAAGACTCACTAAAGAGCAAGATCAGCTTCACTGCAGACTCGTCCAGCAACACAGTGTATCTAAGAGGGCAGAACTTTCAGCCTGCAGACAGCGCAGTGTATTACTGTGCTCGAGATGCACAGTCATGCAACCAGCTGTAGAGGCTGTACAAAAACCAGCACTTCCCTCCTTTGCACCCAAAGGGACTGTCATGTATAAATAAGATACCTTTACTAGCCATTAGGGGGCAACATTTCTATATTATTCATAACTTATTCAGCAAATGTAAGGTTTTATAAAGGAAAGAAGGCCTATGAGGTCCAACGCTGCAGTGGTGCAATGAAAAAGTTTCATGTTGCATTTGTTTTAATAAGCCTGAAGTTATTAATTTACATAATATAATAATAATAATAATAATAATAAATACATTTTGTCTGTATTTAGGTATTAATAGGAATCAAAAGTAAACGATCTAGTGCTTAGATAAAGGTTGTTTATGATTAAGATGGTTTAAGATTATGATGAAAAATACACAGGTAAAAGTACTCTGGCACCATAATTACTGCTTAAAGTAGCAAAAAGCAGCCATTTAAATAGCAGCTGCTAACTTTTTATTGCTTAATTAGAGCATTACAAGGGCATTATAATGTCTGTGCTGAAGTGTCATAAAAATTGGTGCACTCCTTAAGGTTATGTATTAATTATGTACATTAGTATTTAAAAGCTTGCAAGTTTTCACCCAATAAACCCAATTTTACATGCATAAAATAATTCTGGTCACAGTATATTTGGATGGTCCCCTATAGATGATATACAGATACTTATATTATTAACAAATTTTCTGGTGATAATTGAATATGAACAACATTAATGTTAAGATTAGGTTTAGAAGTAGGTGAAGGTTTTGCCTTAAGATTGGGATTAGGGCTAGGTTTAGGGATAAGGACAGATTTAATGGAATCTTTCACATACAACTTAAAGTTCAGTTGCATTACATAGATATTTAGTTGAAAGTTAGTTAAAACTAGACTGAACATCTGCAAAGCATCTACAGTGGACCATCCAAATAAAGTGTGACCATGATTCTAAAACAATGCTGATCTATAGCTTAAGAGAGTTCAACTATAACAATTTGGAAGTAGGACGCTGTAAAACATGAAAAAATGTTGCCTGTGTCCACAATGATGAAGAATAGAATTATAGATGATTGACCAAGAAAGTTGTATGACTTCAAGAATAAAGTTATGACAAAATAATATTCAGAATAAAGTGTGAAGAATCCAGAGTGCACAACGTTTCATATTTGAACAGTAGTGATCTCAAATCTTAAGGCAGGTAGCCTTTTAAGGAATTACTCTAAATAGATAATTTACCATGTAATGGGTTTTCAAAGTTCTTCAAATACTGAGTAAAACATCTCAAAATCCTTTCTGTACATATACACTGTATGAGTTATTACTGAATAAATTAACAGCAATTATTAATATGAGAAATTATTCCAAACTGGTGAACAGTGGTGTAGCTGCACAAAATTGCACAAAATTGAGGGCCATTTCTTTCTATAAGCAATATAAGCAGTCACTTAGGACTCCCAAGCTATAAGAGACCCAGTGAGTATGTTTCATCACAATAAAAATAAAAAATGATTTCCTCCACTTCACCACTTATATCCCAGATTTCCCATATTTAATCAATTGACCATGACATGTCTTTAAGCCGGCGGCACGGTGGCGCAGTGGGTAGCGCTGTCGCCTCACAGCAAGAACGGCCTGGGTTCAATTCCCGGCTGGGTGACCAGGGTCATTTCTGTGTGGAGTTTGCCTGTTCTCCCCGTGTCTGCGTGGGTTTTCTCCGGGTACTCCGGTTTCCTCCCACAGTCCAAAGACATGCAGTCAGGCTGATTGGACATGCTGAATTGCCCCTAGGTGTGAGTGTGTGTGTGAATGTGTATGTCTGTCTGTCTGCCCTGCGATGGACTGGCGACCTGTCCAGGGTGTATCCTGCCTTCCGCCCAGTGACAGCTGGGATAGGCTCCAGCACCCCACCGTGACCCAGAAGGATAAGCGGTTTAGAGGATGGATGTCTTTAAGCCTGAAGTTTTCTTCTTTAGCTTTGCACTTATGTGGCTAATGTAGTTAACAAGAAGTGAAATTTCAGACCCAAAAAATCAGCATCATGCTAACTGCATGCCTAAAACATCACACACTCTCCTCAAACCATGTCAAGGTGTTAAGTCATCTCAAATAGACGTATGTGGTTTCTGACACACTGTTGTCTAGAAACACAGACACAAAAACATAGCATAGATTAAAATAGTAACAGTAGCCACTGTTTGGTCCATTGCTTTGGTCCATTCTATGAGTGACTAAAATAATAGAACCAGTCTGCATCATTAAGGGTCATTAAGGAGGCCACAACCATGTCCATCATGGGGTCGGTCAAATGTAAAAAAAATGGTTTTAATGCTTTTAATACTTCCTTTTGCATCATTGAATGTCAGTATTTTTTTAAATGCTCAACTGATTTAATTATAATGCACGAGGAAAAAGAAGAGGTTGTGATGAGATGTGGTCAGCTTTTTTTTCATTAAAGCAGGAACAGACACACGTAATAAAAGGCCCGCTGAGCTGTAGAGATTACAGAGCAGAAATATCACAAATGCTAAACACCATGTGTTCGGTTTCTTTTCTGCTGTTTCTGGCAGCTGCATCCTATAAGTGTAACACTTATCAACACTTATCTTAGGTTTGCGTTTTTAGCAAGTGTAATTTAATGCTGAATAATTTCCTGATTTGTGTCCACAGGTGTTGAATGTATTGAGCTGGTTCAGCCTGCTGCCATGGTTGTTGCCTGACCAGTCTTTCTCCATCACCTGTAAGGTTACTGGATATTCAGTCACCGGTGGAGACTGTACTAACTGGATACGACAATCAGCAGGAAAAGCTCTGGAATGGATAGAATGGTTCTGCAGTACGAGCAATACTGGGGCCAAAGACTCACTAAAGAGCAAGATCAGCTTCACTGCAGACTCGTCCAGCAACACAGTGTATCTAAGAGGGCAGAACTTTCAGCCTGCAGACAGCGCAGTGTATTACTGTGCTCGAGACGCACAGTCATGCAACCAGCTGTAGAGGCTGTGCAAAAACCAGCACTTCCCTCCTTTGCACCCAAAGGAACTGTCATGTATAAACAAATTAATTTTACTAGCCTTTAGGGGGCAACATTTCTATATTATTCATGACTTATTCAGCATATATATAAGGGGAGAGAAGGCCTATGAGGTCCAACACTGCAGTGGTGCAATGAAAAAATGTCATGTTGCATTTGTTTTAATAAGTCTGAAGTTATTTATTCACATAATAATAATAATAATAATAATAATAAAGATTAAAGGCTAAATGGTTAAAATGGGTTAATATATGTTAAATGAAAGTACACATACAATGTGGCCTAACCTATATACTGTTGGTGAGTAATATGCTTAAAGCTGACCTATGTAAGTTTTGGGGATTTGGAGGCCTCTCCGGTAGAAATGCGTAATTGCACGTAACATGCGGCTTCTGACCCCTTCCTCCCATCCCTGAGTGGATGAATCTCATGATTGTGAGTGAATTATCTATTATTTTCATCATATCTTTATCAGTATAATGTTGATTTTGCATTTGAGACCTAAACATCTAGCTGGACCTTACATTGCTATTTAAAGATGTACGGCATTGTGTGAAAAAGTCCTGTGAAATCTGACCCGACGTCTTTATCTGGTACATTATCACAGCAGCACACACCATTTTTTATCTCCTGACTCAGTAATGTTGCTTTTTTTTTTAATTTTCACAAACAAAAGTCTTACATAGTGCAGCCTTAATGATTTGAATCTACTAAGAAATTTTTGTCACCTTCATCTTAACACAGCTAATATGGGTTTTTTTAAAGGGACAAAAGATTAAATTTACCAAATAGTCAATCAGCTAAGACATGTTTGGTGTCTGAAGTTTGCTTCTAATCTTTTACTCAAGTGCTACATCACTAACCGAGTTGTCACAAATAACGGGAACACTAAATGAAATACTCACTGGTTATTTTAACAGAAACCATATATATGCACTTTGTAGGTTTACAGTTAGTCACTGTAGCCCATCTATTGTGGCACAATTTATTAGCCCTCCACTACCCTGTCCATGGATTTGGAGCCCCCTTAGTCCACCGCCATTTAGATGGTCTTCTCCTAAGTTAGCTAGTTAAAATGGGGCAAAAGTGTTCCATGAATTTGATGATATACACTCATTTAAGCACATCTTAGTCAATGTTTATTAACAATTCTTGTACCACCACAAACCACAATTACTACTACTACTATAAATAATAACTTATTATTATACCATTATTGTGCCTATTGAATGCTGGTGACATTACTGAGAGTGAAGTGTTTAAAAATGCTGTTAATTTGATTGATAATTCCATTCATCTCTTAATTCTGTCATGTCTGCCACTGTGACATCAATGAATCTGCGAAGGTAGATTTAACTATTGGTCTAAATTACATTAATAGCTAAGTTAGTTATGACTCAGTGTGCAGTGTTCCTGCTGTGACAGGTTCGAATGGTTCCTCTTGGATGCTGAATGGTTCCTTTTGGCTTTTAAATGCTCGACATCATTACAAGTTTATTCAGTTGGGGAAGAAGAGGTTGAATGTGATTTGACCCAGATTTCATGTTTCCGTTGATGTAAATCACCTACGTTTTCATCAAAGCAGGAACAGACATACACAATAAAAGCTCTGGTCTGTAGAGATCACAGAGCAGAACCACCACCAGTGATAAACATCATGAGCTCCGTTTCTCTTCTGCTGTTTCTGGCAGCTGCTTCCTGTAAGTGGCACTTAAATTACATTATATAATTGTTTGTGCTGCTCTTAAACGTCATTGTTGTATAAAGAATTGCCTCTGTGAAATGATGCATTTACACTAGAAGGGAAAACTAAAATACATTAAAGTAACATGATTGTTTTTCACTAATTCTATTAATCTCTTCACCTTGTTCACACAATGTAAAAGACAGCTGGTGTTTTCAAAAAATCCTAAACATTTTTTTTTTTTAAGTGCTTTGATATGACAGAAATGACATAAAAAGGTTGAATTTGCTTTCATAAAAATATAACCTGTTGTGTTGATGTTTTGCAGGTGTTCATTCTATTGAACTGATCCAGTCTGAAAATGTGGTTGTGCGGCCCGGAGAGTCTTTTAAGATCTCCTGTAAATTCTCTGGGTTCTCGCTATCCAGCTACTGTCCACGTTGGATACGGCATCCAGCAGGAAAGCCAATGGAATATATGGGGCATGTGTGCAGCAGCAGCAGCTCAGTGAAGGATTCACTAAAGAGCAAAATCAGCTTCACTGCAGACGCTTCCAGCAGCACAGTGTTTTTAACAGGGCAGAATTTCCAGCCTGAGGACAGCGCTGTGTATTACTGCGCTCGATACACACAGTTATTCAACCTGCTGCTGCAGCTGTACAAAAACACAACAGCCAGTGTCTTCAGTTCGAGTGGGATCTTAATTTGCAACTGCAGATTTTCTGTATTAACAAAATGTATATACAATGTTTAGCACTGTACATATTTGTACATAAAAAAAAAAACACAAAAAAACAAACAACAAAAATATATCTCCTAATTATTTAGAAGGCAAAAATTGCTCTTCACTGTTAATGTAAGATTTTATTCCAGGTGATTTTGGAGCATTCCTATTGGTCCATTCATATAAATCTACCATAAGAACATCATACCAACAGTGAAACGTGGTGGTGGTAGTGTAAAGGTCGGGGGCTGCTTTGATATATACAAGTACACAGTGAAACAAAACAACATTTCTCCAGGACCAACACAGGAACACAAGTGCAAAACAATACAATATACACAGCGCAGACAATACAGTGTAATAAATACAGAAATAAACTAACAATAAATACAAAACAGAACACAGGTAGTACACAGTACTGGGAGTATGTGGAGCTGTGCAAAGGAGGATGTAACATATTATGACATATTAGCAGATTAGCAGATAGCCTAGCATATATGAACATAGCAGTCACTGAGATAACAACCAGAACAGCAGCGGAATAGAGTGTTTTGTTGATATAGCAATTCTAGCAGCCAATCTTGTTACATAAGTAAAATGTGCAAAAATGCAATATGTCAGATAAGTAAGTTATATCAGGTGAAGTATTTCAGTGAAATGCAATAAGTATATTTAAATTCAGTGTCACAGATATAATCTGGAACTGCAAGAAGTGGAGAGTGAGATGGTCTCATATTGTTATGTATATGCGCTTTTTCTTTATATTATATTTTTTTAAACCGGCTTCGCTTTACCTTGTGTGAATATTTCTTAATGAATGGACCAAAAGAAATGTTGCTCCAAAATAATCTGAATTAAATCTTGCAACAGTGGCATTTACTGAATTTCAGACAATTTTCCCTTTCTCCTGTCAAGTCATTGTTTTAGAGATATGAGGGTTTGTTCGGACAGTGACTGTCCTTCTGTATGTGAGTAAAATTGCAAATCATGCAAATCCAGCATCCAATAAAACTACTTAACCCAGTCTTAAACAGATCAGTGAGCAGCTCCTCTGAGATCAGCTTCCACACCAACCATGATCCCCACACCTACATACCTGCTGCTGCTGCTAACAGCTGCATCCTATAAGTGTATCTAGAACATATTGACACTCTTTCTACACATTTAATACACTGATAGGCTACTAATATTTTTTAGAGAAAATAATTTCATGCTTGGTGTCCACAGGTGTTGAATGCATTGAGCTGGTTCAGCCTGCTGCCATGGTTGTTAAACCTGGCTTACAATTTTGAATCAAGCTCAGAATTTCAGCTCAATAATATAATATTTCCAGCAGGAAAATGAACCATTAGCCTCCTACCTTCACTAAAACCTCACTACAACACTGTTAGCTCCATAAACAAATGAGCTTTGTTTACTAACAAAGAACCAGAGCAATATTATATTATTACTGTAATATTACATATACAATATGTAAACATATCAAGTATACAAAAGCATCAGTGTTTTTAGTTTATTACAGTGTATTCTCGTTACTCATTAATGAATGTATTTAATGGTTGTTTCAGAGTAAATATGTACTTAAACTGAGTGTTACTGCATTGTTCATAAACATGTCATGTACACAAAATCTGTTAATTCCGTTGGGAAAAGAAGAGGTTGAATGTGATTTGACCCAAATTTGATAAATGTTTCCGTTGATGTAAATTACCTACATTTTTCATCAAAAGCAGAACAGACAGGCATAATAAAAGGCCCTCAGCACTGTAGAGATCACAGAGCAGAACCTCCACCAGTGCTAAACATCATGTCCTCTGTTTCTCTTCTGCTGTTCCTGGCAGCTGCGTCCTGTAAGTGGTATTGAAATAACATTACTTCATGGCTTGTGCTGCTCTTAACCATCATTGTTGTAAGAAAACATTGCCTCTGTGAAATGGAACATAAAATAATATATAATATAGTGATGAAGAATGTTTGGTCCAGTTCTATTGGTCCATTCATCATGAAGTGTTCACACAATGTAAACAACAGCCGGTGTTAAAAAAAAGCTAACATTTAAAAAAGGTTTGAATATAAAAAAGACAATATTTAACAAGGTTGGATTTGTTTCCTATAAAATATAACATGTTGTGTTGCTGTTTTGCAGGTGTTCATTCTATTGAACTGATCCAGTCTGAAAATGTGGTTGTGCAGCCCGGAGAGTCTTTTAAGATCTCCTGTAAATTGTCTGGGTTCTCGCTATCCAGCTACTGTCCTTATTGGATACGGCATCCAGCAGGAAAGCCAATGGAATATATTGGATATGTGTGTAGCAGCAGCAGCTCAGTGAAGGATTCACTAAAGAGCAAAATCAGCTTCACTGCAGACGCTTCCAGCAGCACAGTGTTTTTAACAGGGCAGAATTTCCAGCCTGAGGACAGCGCTGTGTATTACTGCGCTCGATACACACAGTTATTCAACCTGCTGCTGCAGCTGTACAAAAACACAAGAGTCAGTTCTAGTGGGATTTCACTTTGCTATAGAAGAAATATGCATAAAAATATTTAGTCACTGTCCAAGAAAATAAAACAAAAATCCCAATAAATAGAAATTTGCATATATATTTGACAAGTGCCAGAGTTAAGTGTGTTCTCCGCAGAGGATGTGTTAATGTATTTTCATTTACAAAATGATGTACTTTGAACAAAGGTGTTCAAACTTTTGCACACAACCATATGTACATAACATTAGTACTGTACTATAATAATAACTGCACTATAATAATAAACAGTTAACACAATAACAGACAACAATAATATACTGTATGTTTAGATTAAACAGCAAACAGTAAACAAAGAGATAGATAGATAGATAGATAGATAGATAGATAGATAGATGGGCCTCTGATTGAACTTTGCTTTGCTTTGTGAGGCCAGTCAAATTATAATGATCAGATTTTCATTTTCACTGTTATGAAAGATACATGAAATAATAAAAGCATAAAACATAATCACTGTAAAATTGGTCACAAGCATTTCTACACCCAAAATTGAATTCATAAGCACTAATACTACAATTCAACTTTAAGGCCTCTGAGGGGCGCTCTTTCTCTACTTTTCACAGCCCTACACTGTAAGGATGCTTAAAGGGATGAGGAGAGCACAGTGAATGTTAGCACACAGTGTCCTTGGATTTATATAAATCTGATAATATCTATTACTAAATTCTGAAAAAAAAAGATATTAAATTTAGATGTTGAGGCTTCTGTGCAATTTCATGGTAAATATATTAACGGAAAAATAGAAATGTTTTTTCAGAGTCAATCATCATCATGCAAATCCAGCATCCAGTAAAACTACTTAAGCCAGTCTTAACCAGATCAGTGAGCAGCTTCTCTGAGTTCAGCTTCCACACAAACCATGATCTCCACACTGACACGTCTACTGCTGCTGCTAACAGCTGCATACTCTAAGTGTATCTAGAACATATTGACACTCTTTCTACACATTTAATATACTGATAGGATGCTAATAGTTTTTTAGAGACTGTTATGTCATACTGAATAATTTCATGTTTGTTGTCCACAGGTGTTGAATGTATTGAGCTGGTTCAGCCTGCTGCCATGGTTGTTAAACCTGGACAGTCTTTCTCCATCACCTGTAAGGTTACTGGATATACAGCCATAGGTGGAGGCTACACCATCTGGGTACGACACTCAGCAGGAAAAGCGCCAGAATGGATAGGATATTTCTGCAGTACGAGCAATACTGGGGCCAAAGACTCACTAAAGAGCAAGATCAGCTTCACTGCAGACTCGTCCAGCAACACAGTGCTTTTACAGGGTCAAAACTTCCAGCCTGAGGACACAGCTGTGTATTACTGCGCTCGAGACGCACATTGCTATAAACTGCCAAGGGACCTGTACAATAACCCCTTTAAATGCATACACAGTCAGCTCCATAATTATTGGTACCCTTGTTCTGTGTACATGATACAGGATATGTATGAAAAATTTAATTCCAAAAGGCTGTAGATCCATTTGTAACAATTTTGGATTTTTTGAAAAGAAAAACAACTGTTGGTAATGGAAAACATATGTTTGTTTCTCACATAAAGGTGGTATAACATAGCACTGATATTCTGTGTATAGCCCGCTCTCAACAAGGAATATTATGGAAGGAAAAAAAAAGAAAGAAAAAAACAAAAAAATGAAAGTGGTCTGTAACACATTCTGGAACAAAAGTTTAAAATATTAAAAAGCCTTTATATACTATAATAATAATAATAATAATAATAATAATAATAATAATAATAATAATTATTATTATTATTATTATTATTATTATTATTATTATTATTCCTACTAATACTTAACACTGTTAAAGGAGGTGCACTGATTTTGTCTGTGCATAGCCCACTCTCAACAATGAATATTATGGGGATTTTTTTTTTTTTGAAAGTGGTCTGTAACACATTCTGGAACAAGACCTTGTGTATATATATATATATATATATATATATATATATATATATATATATACACTGCTCAAAAAAATAAAGGGAACACTGAAACAACACAATATAACTTCAAGTAAATCAAACTTCTGTGAAATCAAACTGTCCACTTCAACTGACAATCAATTTCACCTGCTGTTGTGCAAATGGAATAGACAACAGGTGGAAATCATTGGCAATTAGCATGACACACTCAATAAAGGAGTGGTTCTGCAGGTGGGGACCACAGACCACTTCTCAGTACCTATGCTTTCTGGCTGATGTTTTGGTCATTTTTGAATGTTGGTGGTGCTTTCACACTCGTGGTAGCATGAGACGGACTCTACAACCCACACAAGTGGCTCAGGTAGTGCAGCTCATCCAGGATGGCACATCAATGCAAGCTGTGGCAAAAAGGTTTGCTGTGTCTGTCAGTGTAGTGTGACAGGATGGAGGCGCTACCAGGAGACAGGCCAGTACACCAGGAGACATGGAGGAGGCCGTAGGAGGGCAACAACCCAGCAGCAGGACCGTTACCTCCGCCTTTGTGCAAGGAGGAACAGGAGGAACACTGCCAGAGCCCTGCAAAATGATCTCCAGCAGGCCACAAATGTGCATGTGTCTGCACAAACGGTTAGAAACCGACTCCATGAGGATGATATGAGGGCCTGACGTCCACAGATGGGGGTTGTGCTCACAGCCCAACACCGTGCAGGACACTTGGCATTTGCCAGAGAACACCAGGATTGGCAAATTCGCCACTGGCGCCCTGTGCTCTTCACAGATGAAAGCAGGTTCACACTGAGCACATGTGACAGACGTGATAGAGTCTGGAGAGGCCGTGGAGAGCGATCTGCTGCCTGCAACATCCTTCAGCATGACCGGTTTGGCAGTGGGTCAGTAATGGTGTGGGGTGGCATTTCTTTGGAGGGCCGCACAGCCCTCCATGTGCTCGCCAGAGGTAACCTGACTGCCATTAGGTACCGAGATGAGATCCTCAGACCCCTTGTGAGACCATATGCTGGTGCGGTTGGCCCTGGGTTCCTCCTAATGCAGGACAATGCTAGACCTCATGTGGCTGGAGTGTGTCAGCAGTTCCTGCAAGATGAAGGCATTGAAGCTATGGACTGGCCCGCCCGTTCCCCAGACCTGAATCCGATTGAGCACATCTGGGACATCATGTCTCGCTCCATCCACCAACGTCACGTTGCACCACAGACTGTCCAGGAGTTGGCGGATGCTTTAGTCCAGGTCTGGGAGGAGATCCCTCAGGAGACCATCCGCCACCTCATCAGGAGCATGCCCAGGCATTGTAGGGAGGTCATACAGGCACGTGGAGGCCACACACAATACTGAGCCTCATTTTGACTTGTTTTAAGGACATTACATCAAAGTTGGATCAGCCTGTAGTGTGTTTTTCCACTTTAATTTTGTGTGTGACTCCAAATCCAGGCCTCCATTGGTTAATAAATTTGATTTCCATTGATGATTTTTGTGTGATTTTGTTGTCAGCACATTCAACTTTGTACAGTACAAAGTATTCAATGAGAATATTTCATTCATTCAGATCTAGGATGTGTTATTTGAGTGTTCCCTTTATTTTTTTGAGCAGTGTATATATATATATGTATAAACAAAGTTATGCACTTGTACTATTATAAATAGCATAATAATAAAAAACATAAAAAGAGTATTATTATTATTATTATCATTGCTACTAATACTATTTCTACTACTCATATTAATACTAATCACAAATAGAATACTCAGTTAAGACAGTGTGTTACATAGTCACTATCCTGTGCTGGTGAAGAAGCAG